ACCTTGCTTTGTGGACTTGGGGTTTATGCCTGTCCTAAGAAGTACTTACAACCCTCAAGAATTTTTGTTACAAAAGGCCAGATTCATTAGTGTACATTTTAATATCTGCTTGTAGTTGCTCCTTCTGTGTCATTAGGCAAATATATATAGGTATAATTCCTAGACCCGTACATTATGAGTTTCTTAAGAATTCTCGTCTCTGCACCTCTCAGATCTTCATACAGGCCATTTGACAAACCCTGCAATTCAGTAATCATTTGTTAAATTAGACAGTCTGTCTCGCATGATTAAGACTTACAGAAAAAAAAAATATAAGTAAAAACAAAAAAACCTTCCAAACAAGATAGTTTTTATTGTTTATAAACCAGAGTTCCATCGGGTATAGAATAAATTTCAAATTGTTTTCCGAAAAAATCCAGTTATGCTGCAATTCATTTTTAAACTAGCAAACATAAAATAAGAGCTCTACTCTAGGAGCTGAGAGTTGAGGTAGATGGAGAGATTTATAGAATACCTCCAATACATACACATACTCATGTATTAACTGTCTCCACATTCATACATATATAACTGCAATCATGAAGTGAAATGGAGATGACAGAATCGGGCATAAGAAATAGCAACGATAGATGGAATCGCATACATGATGCGCTAACGGAAGTGTGGGCCCATTCCCCTTTGAAATCCTTCCGTATAGGAACAAGGTTACAGGAAGGAGGTTTGTGTCCCTGCTATTTGTTTCAGCATTATTAGTTACATGCAAAGTACAAACAATACAAGTTTGGTTCAAAGAATATCAGATTCATTCACCACTTCATGAACTTTATAGCCAAAGCACCGAAGACGACTGACACACCAGCCAAAGCTCTGAAGCAATGTCCGTGTCTGCCACCACCTTAGAGGGTGGGGACTTTGTCCAGATCCAGCACAGATGAGCACCTGAACCAAGTAAGAGCCTCACAGCAACACTGCAGCTCAAAACAAACCAGACTAGCTTAGATACAGTAAAACATTCTAAATGAAGACAAGAATTGGAATGTGCACAGGATGGCACTGCCCACTAAGCACACACACGTGCTTGTGTGTAAGCACGACACACAGGCTGGCTGGAATCAGCCTGAACTTTCTGGGGACCCCAGTGGAGCAGAGCAGTGCTGTGTCTCCATATCACTCAGGCTCCCTGAAACCACAAGCGCTTCTCAGCTGTCCCTATGGCAGCTCCTCCCCATCAGGTGACAGGTAACAGCATGAACAGTAGCAGCTCTTTCACATCTGAAGCAGCCAAGCATCTGCCTTCACAACCTGGCGCCAGCCAGGGAGCTGGTGTCTGTATTTTCAAGCCCTGCCCTGGAGCAGAAAGGCGGGCACATGCCTGACAAAGCAAGAATCTCAAACGTAGGAGATTAAATTCACTTATATCTTTGAGAAGCTACTTGCATCCAGAAATGAGCCCAAAGGAAGTAAATAAACCGTTTGATGTAGCAGTCTGAAGCTCTACCTACACTCAGAAAAGAGTTCAAAGGAAGCAGACAAAGCATATGAAGTGGCCTGGCCCTGTGTCCTGGTAGTTAAAGAAGTCAGATGGCCAATGATGCGGTTCAAATCCCTGCCCCAGCAGCTTGGAAAACATGCGAGCCTCAAGCCCAGAGAGGATGAAGAAGCAGACAAGGGATTACAACATGATCATGCCCCACGAAGGGCGCTTTCTCCCTCTCTTCTCTCCACCTCTTTCTGGCAGAGAACGACATAGCTCTGGTAGAAAGCCAACCAAATAAAAAATCTGAAATTGAGAGACGTGATCCAATGGGAGACCTCAAAACGGACCTTCACTGGCATTATGTGCAGCATATCATGATATGCCCATGAATTGCTTTATATCTGGGTCTGCAGTGAGTTGCAAAGCAATACCTTGACAGAGATCATTAACCCCATAACCGTGTTATTCTGGTAAAATTTTGGTGCTTCCATTCTAGTGACAGACTCAAAATCATCACATGCAGATACTGTGGGATGTTCCATTTGCCAATACAGGATGGAGTCAAATTGAAGTGAAAGCCCTACAAGTTGCAGCTCGAAACACAACCAATAACCCTGCATCATTTAACGCTTGGCTCCGACTTCCCTATATCTTGAGGAAGTCCTAGAAGCTGCTATGAGTGGTTTACAGTCGACTCAATTCAGCATAATTGATACTTGCTTAAAAGGGGAAACGCGATCATCCTTACTATTGCTAACATCCCATTAAGACTTAAAGTTAATTAGGCTGTGTTCTATAAAGTCAATTTGAGGCATTTGTCTCAATAACATTATTGTAATTATTCCTCATCAGAATGAACACTGCCTCCTACTGCGTGCCATGTCCTGTGTAAACAACAACAAAAACCCAACAACTCACATTCCATTCTCCACCTGAGTTATTGAAGTAGGCTTATCTTTACACAGACAGAAAACAGGAATTCACAGATACCGACAGGTTTTAAAAAATACAAAGGCAGGTTTAAGCATCCTGTGTTAAATTTCCAAAGGCCAAAAAACTAAAAGCGAAGTAAAAAAGCATGACAAATTCTATTTCTATATATTATAACAATGCCGTGGAAGTAAAAAAGAGAAGCATCCATTGGAGTTAATGTCATCTGTGGCTAGTGTCTAGGAACAGACACCACAGCACGTTCATGGCCTGACCACCATGGCGCCTTGGCAATGCATCCTCTACCTCACGGAGAACTGTGGTTCTCAGCAGTCCTCAGAGGCTCGGGCAACGTGCTGGGGATGCAAAGAGCCAGAGGCACCAGGACACCCACTGATGACATTTCTAGTAAGCAAGAGCTGAAAGTGATTTCCCTGGCACTGTTCCTCAAGACCCAGAGTTTAAGTGAGTCTTTTAAAGTATGATATTCAATAAAATATAGATAAAATTTAATTGTTAGAGAGACAAAAAATATATATATAAAAAAATCAAAAGAAAGAATGGTGGATCAGGCTGGTTCCGTGGCACAGCCACAATGGGTGCTTAAGCGATGCTGGAGCCGTATGTGAGATCATGGGTTTGGTTCCCTGGTCCCCCTACATGTCAGGTGGATGCACACACCCATGATCTTAGCTGGCTGGCTGGGCTGGTGGAGGATCAAAACATGAGACCCTGTTGAGGATATCTGTCTCTCTCTTTCATGAAAGAAAACTACAAAAAAGAAAGAGAGAGAGTAATTTAGCATAGTGATCTACACTATGTTATTGAGCTCTAGTGACTAAGTGCTAAAATTGGAGTTAAAGCTTTTTTCCTTCAACTTGCCAGAAAGGGAATGAACTCACTGGAGAGAGAGAAAGAGAGAGAGAAAGAGAGAGAGAGAGAGAGAGAGAGAGAGAAAGCACCTCCTGCCGCCATGAGGAATGGTCACACTGCAATCTCCTCTCTTCCATCTCTCCCTCCTTTTGGGATTTTGGACATGCACCCACATGTGCCTCATGTGTTTTTCAAGTCACTAGGTCCAAGACTCTGTATAGTCAGCCACCTTAACCACTACATACCTGGCTGGTCCTAAAACATTTTTAAAATGATACTTCAGGAGGAAAACTAAAATTAATAGTATTTTCTTAATACTTATCCCCGGACATCATCAGTGGCCCAATGATATGATCATAACTGGCAGGAGAGGAGAGGATGAAGAGAGAAGGGAGAGGGACTGAGCTAGGGAAGGTGCACCCCACAAATGCAGTTGGCTCCTACAGAGCTTAACCCATGGGAAGCAAGTGCCCTTAGAACAGTGGTTCTCAAACCTGGCTGCAAATCACATCTAAGAAGAGATGCTTCAGCCATCCCAGTGCCCAGACTGTGCCCACCTCCTCCACCTGCCAATCAAATCAAACTTCTAAGGGGTGGGTCCCAGGCACCAATGGGTTTTAAACCTGCCCAAGTGAATCCATTATGCAGGGAAAGCTGAAACCCAGTGCCTTAGATATACAAAATGCTTCAGATGAAATGATCCTAAAATTAGATACTGACAATGACATCTCTGCATTTGTTAGGGGGGAAATAATGGAAAAAGAGTAGTGGAATCAGTTATAAGCCAAAAGTTCAAGTTCCAATTTTTCCCCTAATGACCTAAGCGACCTTGAGGAAATGCCCTGATTTCCTGGGGCCTCAATGTATACTCCCTTTAAAAACATGAAGAGGTTCTACACAATGTTTTAAGAGCTATTTAATTCTATGGTTTTGACATGCATACCAATAAACAAAAAGCTGTAAATGGGATAGTTTTTGCCAGGTTTAGAAAGTCTATGTTAAATCAGAATTCAGAGCTCAAGTCAAAGCTAGTATCTTCACAGTTTGATCCCAGAATTTACTCATTTATTTTTTGTAAAAAAAGTTATTTCAATGTATTTGTTATTATTATTTTAAATCCTATAGGGCATATGCACTCACTCGAGAGAGACAGAGAAAAAGGGAAAGTGAGAAAGCGAACCACCAGGTCTGGGACTTGAACTGCAGTAAGCTATGTGGGAATCCAGTGCCTTAACCACCATACCACCTGCCAGCTCCACTAATTTACTTTTTATAACTTCTGTTTTTAAAAATATTTTATGAGAGAGAGACAGACAGAGATAGACATAGACTGACATTTTGACATGGTCTTACCATACCATAATCTCCCTGCCCCAGCCTTCCAGCCAGCCAAGATCAGGGGCACACACCACAGCAAACAACCCAGGCCTCCCATGCAGTCCCAGCCTTAGGAAGCAGTGCCCTTCCACTTGTGCCACCATGCCTGAGCCATACTCTTTTCAACATTTTTTAAAAAAATAATCATTTATTTTATTTTACTTATCATTATTATTATTTTAATTTGCTATAGGGCACATGTGCATGCATGCATAAGGAAGAGAAAGAAGGTGAGAAAGCAAACCACCAGGTCTAGGATGCAAACTGCCGATGGCCATATGAAAATCCACCACCCATGCCATCTGCTGGCCCCACTCTTAAATTTTTTAAGAGCTAGACCCACCAGTAAAAACTGAGTGAATTCTGCATATGTCAGGTGTCTTTTTCTCTCTTTACCAAAATGTAGTTGCACAAATTCTGATTCCCAGTTAAACGGAATATGTTGATGAATTGTGGTCTGTCCAAAAACTTGCTTAACATCCTCTGAAAAGAGAAAAGAAAAGCTGATTAAGACAATCCAAGTCAGGTTTTTCCTTAAAAAATATTTCTATTTCCTCTTGTAAATAAGTATTTCCATTTCTTTTTATAAAAATGTAGCTCAATTTTAAACACACACACACAGATTACAAAAGCATGGTGGAAAAAAAATCAGAATCCTCCCAGAATCAGGCAAGAATCAAAGTTAATAATCCCATCAAATAAAATAAAGAGAAGAGGAAATCAAGAAGTCACATACATACAACCTGTAGGAAGTAGGAAAGCAAAGTAATAAGGTAATAAAACTATTATCATCTAATTTATTTTGTTTCAACCTGTATTATTTTCTAGGTACAAGGACAAGAATTCAATCGTTAGTGGTTGAAAATGCATACCTACGTACACAAGCATGTAGATAACGTTGTAAGTCTTAAATGTAGTCTTTTCAGTTATAAAAAAAGGTTTTTGAGAGATTTAGAAGTCAGATAAAAACTGATGCACATAATCTACCTCCCGAAGACTGAGTTTTAAAAAAATCCAACAATTTATCAAGTTGCACTTGGAGGCAAGAAGAGGACGAAAAGTCAGTGGCATAATTCTTCAACTTTACGCTGCAGTCTTTTGCTTTGAAAGTTCTCCATTCGTTCAAATAATCCCATTTCAAGATGGACTACCAAATGCACCTGGACTGGCTCTGCACCTCTAAGCTCTACTGCAAATTTTAAGAACTCTGACAGAGAAAAAGAATATTAAAAATATCACTTCTCTAAAGCTTCATGTCTTTATTAGTCTCCTTCTCCCAAGTAAAGTAACTGTCTGGAGGGTGAAGGGAACACAAACCATTCTTATACTAATACATTTGCTTTTGGCTTCCTTTAAATATATCTAACAAACCTGTTCATATTTATGAAATAACTGTGCCTGATGCCTTTTCTTATTATTATTTTGCTTATGTTTTTTAAAAATGGAAAAAGGTTATTTAGCTTCTAAAGGGTGCTAAAACATGTGATACATACTTTTACTATTTTCCCCAAATTTCTTATTTCTACCTCTATTGTGTTCACAAAGTTTTTATTCTGTGCTTTTAGACTTTCCAGAACTGTTAAGTCTTGCGATGAAGAAACAGAAAGGTTGCCTTTGGTAAAAAGGTCAGGTGTGTATTTGCACAGAGAAGGCAGTAAAACTCAGAATAACGCTGGGCATAAACTTTATAAAAGGTGGCAGAAAACCTCAGGTTGGTGCGGACAAAGGCAATGAAATAAAACTTTTAAAGTGAAACCCTCAATTTCTCTGAATGTATTGTGTTTTCTCCATTTTGGGGGGAAAAAAGAGAGAGAGAGAGAACAAAGATGCAAGAAAACTGAAGTGAATCAAGAACTGGGATTGAAAAGAAAAAGAAAAGGTGAAAGACTTCAAGAGTCAAAGAAATAAGTAAAAAGAGACTTCAATCATTATTATTTGTTTTTTTGGAGGTTTTTGCTACAGGGCACATGCACTTACCAGAAAGACAGAGAGAGACAGAGAGACAGAAAGTGAGAAATCACCCTTGGGGGTGATGGCCACGCCGCAATCCCTACTCCTCCATTCTCCTCTCAGGATCTTGGGCACGCATGCACATGCGCCCGTCATCAGTTTCAGCCACCGGGTCCGGGACTCAAACCAAGGTCGACTACATGGGAGTCCAGGGACATAGCCATTTCGCCAACTGCTGGTCCCCTTTATTTATTTTTGGCCAGAGGGCACATGAGAGAAACAAAGAGAGCAGGAAAGCACCCCTCAATGGGACATGGTCAGTCACAATCCCATCTTCTCCACTTCTCCATCCTGTCAGGATTGGGTGCATGTGAGCAAATGCACCTGGTATGTTTTTCAAGTCACTAGCACCCAAACTCGAATTGCTCAGCCAGCCATATGGGATCTGGCTCTTTTAACCACTAAGTCATAAGGCTGGCCCTCACTTGAACTTCTGAGAGGAAATCATGAAACTATTGGGTCATTGGGAAAATCATGATGCATTTTTCCATAGAAAAACATGTCATGACTTTCCTGATAGAATTCAAATGACTTGAGTTCAAATTCTACTAGCTGTTATAGCAGCTAAAATTTCTTGGGTGCTTATCCAAGATGTAACAGGTATTATTCTCATGGCTGTATGAATAAATCCCTTACTAACTTGAAGTGGGACCTTCTTCAGTGGCAAAATGTATTAACTGAGTTAATCAGTAATTCCTTCCCAGTTCTAGGAAATTCAATCTATACCTCTGGATAAAGCAGACTCATTAGAGATACAGCAAAACCTCCCACAATCTTCTAATCTAAACCAATAATTAATGAGAAATGGTGTTCAAATATCCCATTCCCTGTGCGACTATGACTGGGGTCAGGATCTCTTTCTGAAAATATTATCTTGAGCCTGCCCTGTGGCCTGGTGGTTAAGGGAACCGGATCCCTCATGGCCAACAACATGGTTCAAATCCTGGCCCCAGTGGTTTTAAATTAATTAATTAATTAAAAAATAAACTGAAAATTATCTTAAAGAGTTATGCATTGATTAGGTTCACCCTTTACTCATTTTTAACTTTCCATGGAAACAGACAAAATTATGAAAAGAAGGAGGTAAAGAAGACTGTCCAGATCAGCTAGTGTAACGCAGTAATGTGTACACACATATTATGTCACATGTAGACTGGGAGCATCCTCAGGGCCACCATAATGCAGCCACCAGTGGAGGACTTTCACATCATTGCCCCTATGCCTGGTGCCTCCCTCAGCTGAGCAGCATACCCACCACATGACCCTGAGGTCTCATCCTCCATTTCTGACCTGGTCTAACATACTGCCTATTTTAAGAATGCCAGTCCTTCGCTGGCTGCCTATCGACTCCTGAGGAGCATAGCTAGGAGCACTGTAGTAGTCCCTATGGGAAGAGGAAGCTTAGTAGGAGGTATATGGTTGGATCCAAGGACAACCCAGAAGCTCCACAAGCTGCAATTTAACAGCAGATCCAAACATAATGGAGGCTCAAGTTAGGATTTCTTTCTCCTTTTAGGAAGCACAAGTAGATTTCTTTTTTTTTCTTTAGAGGTTTTTGCTATAGGGCGTGTGTGCTCGCCAGACAGACAGAGAGAGACAGAGAGAGACAGACAGAGAGACAGAAAGCGAGACATCACCCCCCAAGGGGGATGGCCATGCCACAATCCCTTCTCCTCCATTCTCCTCTCAGGACCTTGGGCATGCACGCACACGCGCCTGGTGTGAGTTTTAAGCCACTGGGTCCGGGACGCGAACCGTGGTCGACTACGTGGGAGTCCAGCGACATAGCCATTACGCTAACTGCTGGTCCCTGGAGCACAAGTAGATTTCTCACTTAACATCGGATGTTTTAAGATTTCTCCACGTTTTGTGAGGCAATGAGAGGCAACAGTACTTCTTTGATCTTTATTTCTTCCACAATTGAGAATCAGAACCCCCAATAAGATCCTGATTCTACTATCTACTCCCAACCTTCTGCCAGCTCTAGATCATGGGTATATGTACCAAGTGTTATCGCATTAAACCAGTAGAAAATCAGAAACTAGAAACAAAAGCAATTTGCAAGTTCAATTGTGCTCTATAGTATGGCTCCCCCAGGCAAGTCCTTGTGCTCTACCATGAAAGACTCAAGAAACCAACAGAGTTGTCCCACCGCTAAACCCTTAGTATTCTCTAACTGGCAGTCCTGGAGAGGATAGAGGTTACCCGTAATAACCTAACCTTCAGGTTGCTCACTGGATTCAGAACAACCTGTAACTCACCAGTTGGGGGTTTTCGAATAAGTAGAACTTGGCAAACTTATCACCAACTTAAAAAGAATATAAAGGAAGTCTCTCCTGGTTGAAAATACAAGGCCTTAAACTCTTACTGCCAGTCTGAGATCACATAAAGAAAGAAGCAAAACTGAGTCAACATTAGAATGCGAATGTAGCACGAGGTATATATTTTGGTTATATAAAGTCATATTTTTCTCAGCCATTCTTCCTGAAAATGAAAACAAATTAGACTGTTTATCTCTTAAAGTATAATCATTGTTATTTCACTCTGTGCCAAACAAGTTATGTTTGGAAGACTTTTAGTTCCCATATCACCAAATAATGGTAATATTATTTAAGACAAGACTTTACCAAATAAGCTCAAGGAGCCTTTTTACTTGAGTTTATTTCTGGGACTTCATGTTCTCCACAAATGTTGACAGCTTAAAAGTCTGTGGCTTTTTTTTTTTTTTTTCATTTTACTATACAAAAAGACAATTACAAAGTGGCAGTAGGTTGTTCCTAAAGATAACTTCAAAAAGTTAACTAATTCATTCTAAGTTAATGAATTTTCCAAAGAATGGCTGTAGTCACAGATTTTTAAAAGCTGGGTCACAGATGACACGATCTTATATAAAGTCCTAATGAAGCTGCCAAAAATCAACTAGAACTAATTAATGAGTCTAACAAAGTAGGAAGATATAAGATCAGTATATAAAAATTAATTGCATAAATAAGCAACCCAAAAATAAACAATTCCATTTACAATAGCTTCATATAAAAATTAATTGCATAAATAAGCAACCCCAAAATAAAGAAAACAATTCCATTTACAATAGCTTCAAAAAAATGAATAAATTTAACAAATAATGTATAAACCTATTATACTTTAAAAACTACAAAATATGGGATCAGTAGTTAGCGTAATGGCTGTGTTGCTGGTCTCCCATGTAGTCGACCATGGTTCGTGTCCTGGACCCGATGGTTTAAAACTCACGCCAGGCGCATGTGCATGCGTGCTCAAGATCCTGAGAGAAGAATGGAGGAGAAGGGATTGTGGCATGGCCATCCCCCCTGGGAGGTGATTTCTTGCTTTCTATCTCTGTCTCTCTCTGTCTGACGAGCGCATGCGCCCTATAGCAAAATCCTCTTCAAAAAAAAAACTACAAAATATGGTTGAAATTTAAAAATACATAAATAAATGTGAAAACATCTTAT